ATCGAATCGGTTTGTTGTTCTGTGCCCGACAATGAAATTATATCTCTGGAGAAGAGTGTTGAGGTTGACGAGGTGAGAGAGGCACTGGGTTCTATGGCTAAAAATCCCCAGGGTTGGATGGGCTACCAGTGGAGTTTTATTTACAGTTTTGGGAGGTTCTCTCAGCTGATTTGCTCGAGGTTTACAAGTGTGTTTTTGAGTGTGGTGTGTTATCTAGCTCACAGAAAGGAGGCTTGATTAAATTGCTGCCTAAGGGAGGAGATCAGCTTGATCCTAAGAACCGTCGTCCTATTACGTTGTTAAATGTTGACTATAAGATTTTGGCCAAGCTTTTATGTTTAAGATTAGGCAAAGTTATGGGCTGTCTAGTTGGGCCCTACCAGTCGTGTAGTGTGCCTGGGAGGAGACTCCAGTCTAATTTGGTGTTGTTGAGAGATGTGGTGGAGTATGCGTCGCGGTGTAATTCGCCATTGGCTCTAATTTCCTTTGACCAGGAGAAGGCTTTTGATAGAGTTAGTTTCAAGCTTCTTTTTCGAGTTTTGGAGAGGTTTGGGTTTGGAAACAACATGATGAGGTGGTTGCGTTCCATGTATTGTAATTTAAATAGTTGTGTGATGATTAATGGTTTTGTTTCTGATTCTTTTTCTGTGACGCGGGGTGTTAGGCAAGGGTGTCCGCTTTCTCCTTTGTTGTATGTGTTATACATGGAATCATTAGCGTGTTCCATTCAGAGATCGGATTTGATTCGGGGGGTGGTGTTGCCTGGTAGTAGGGGGAGGGAATGCAAGTTTGTTCAGTATGCTGACGATCTGACCTGTGTTCTGACATCCCGGGCTTCTGTTGTTTCCTTGTTAAGTTTATTAAAATCTTTTGAGACAGCGTCGGGTTCTCGGTTTAACTTATTGAAAACTCAGGGTTTGTTGTTGGGGCAGTGGCAGGGTATGTCTCGTCTACCTGGTGTGGATGCAGTGCCATGGTCTAGTGATTCCCTGAAAGTGTGTGGGGTTAGAGTTGGAGGTCGGGGTGCTTGTTATGCGTCATGGGAGGAAGTGGTTGTCCGTTTTGAGAAGGTGGTGGCGAAGTGGGCTAAGAGGAGAATGTCTTTAATGGGTCGGGTTTTAATTCTAAACTCGTTGGCTTTGCCTGTGTTATTGTATGTAGCGCCAGTGTACGTTATGCCTGTTGTTTTTGTAAAACGGCTGTATAAGTGTATTTTTTCCTTTTTGTGGTTGGGTAAAAGGGAAATGGTGGCTAGGAAGACTTTATTTTTGCCACAGTGTGAGGGGGGTTTGGGTTTGGTTGATCCAGTTGCTAAATGTGAGAGTGTTTTTCTTTCGTTCATTGAGTTGGTCTGCAAAGGTGTGGAATGGTCCTATTTTTGTATCTATTGGTTGGGGCATTTACTGAACAGGTTGGGAATTGCAAGGTGGGATAATGGCCGCCCTCATGCTTTAGATGCACCAGTGGAGTATGAGCGACTGGGTAACTTGTGTTTGATGTTGTGGCGTGTTTGTAAGGGGGATGTAAAGTGGGGCTTACTGACCAGTAAAAACGTTTATAAGTTGTTGCTAGTGGAGAAAGGTTATGTTGCCTCGATGGTGCGTTCTAGGCCTAATAAAGACTGGGTGCTTGCTTTCAAGGCTTTGGGGTGTGCTCTTTTGTTGAATGATAGTAGAGAAGTAAGTTGGAAGGTGCTCCATGGTTGTCTTCCGGTAGGGATGGTTCTTAGGGAGCGCAGGATGATTGTCAGAAGGTATGATTGTCCAGGGTGTAGTAGTGCCGAATCCATCAATCACTGTATTATGGGATGTCCTCGTCTGTCTTTGGTCTGGCAATGGTGTTTTAATTTGTTAAGCAAGTTTTATGGGTTAAATGTTCATTTTTGTGAGGATCATATTATGTTTTTTTCCTTTGTGGCTTTGGACTTATCAGTTTATCAGCTTGCAGTTTTTTTGATTTGTGAGGTTAAATTAATAGTTTGGAAGTGTAGGTGTAGGGCTTTGTTTCATAATGAGGGTATTTCTGAGGAGGGTATGGTTGTCAGAGTGAGAGATGCTGTCCGGTCCCGAATTAAGTTGGAATTTCTAAGATGTTCATCGGATTATTCTGCCTTTCGTAAAATATGGTGCATCCAGGGTGTTCTTGCCCTTTTAGTTCACGATAAATTGGTCCTTAAGGTATAAAC